TAAATAAAAATTTTACCAAACACTTTATTTATAGTGGTTTCAAAATATATAAGTTTACCAAACACCTATATTTAGCGATTTAAGTAAAACCGCTAACTGCTACTCCAAAACCACTATACCAAACATGCCTAAATTTAATAATTATCATTAACTTTTCGTTAGATTTCAAAAATAATTATTTAATAAAAATTGTTAAATTTGAGCTAATTTTTTAAAAATAAAAATTTAAAATGATAAATTATATTAATATTTTTAAATAATAATTTACTTTAACACAATAATTTTCAAAGACAATTTGCATATTTGACATATCATATCCATTTGAATTTTTTTTTTTAAATGTATAGTATTAATGTAGATATTCACATTTAAAATTATTTGAAGAGGGCTACCCACACCTTGACCCTCTGAAAAGAAGACCACGAGCTGTGGCCGCACTATGTATTTGATAACATGCAATATTGCATATTAAAATGATGCTGTTTTTCTCTCCACTGTTAGGGGATGATTAAAAAGGGAAAAATTATTAGAATAGACAAGTAGCATGAAGTTACCTAAAACCTTAAAGATTAGATCTATTAAGATATAAATATTATCTTTTAGATTAAATTTAAAGCTTAAATATTAAGATTAAGATTTAAAAAAATTAATTTTTTAATGAACTAAGAATGTAAACTAAATACGTCTTTAAAGTCATGCAAAAAAAATTAATTTTAAAAAACATAAAAAAAAACTTATCTAAAAATTTATTAGTGCGTAGAGGAATGTGATATATTTTCCCTTAATTACATATAAAGTGGGATGTTACATTCCTCTTGTAATTAATATGACTTCTTATCATTCCCCACCATTTCGCTTTAGGAAAGTAAATAAGTCCAAATTGGGCACAAAACTGGAATCCGAGAAGAGGCCAGACTGCTCCAGTTTCTTTGTGAATCGGTTGTAGAGCTCATCAATGATCTCTCCTCCAAAATGGTCTCACACTACCTCCTCAGAAGCAGCTCTTATAACCAATGCAAGCTTCTCGATGACTGGCATGAGGCGATCCAGCTGCTGCATCTTCTCAATCTTGAAGGACCCATTTCTCTCCACTATAGTTTTCACCTCTTCCGCTGATGGAAAGTAAAGGTGTAAATTGAAGGAGTCCACTTTCGATTCATCCACCAATCCCTTCAATTCATAAAATTTCAGCTTGCCTAATTGCTTCAGAAATAATAATAATGATGATGATGATGATGATGATGATTAGTATTTTTTTTGTTCAATATATTTTACAATACTTCTTAACTCAGCTGTTATAATCAGTAGTTTTTAATTTTCTTGTTTTTAATTCAAATTTAAAAATAATAACTTCTCAATCAATATATTATAAGATATATTAAACTAAAAAGTATATTAATTATTGTCATCATAATAATAATAATAATTTAGAAAAAAATGTTTCTACATAGAAACAACAAAAAATTGCGTATAAAAATATCTTAATAAATTCTTTTTAAAAAAACTAAAGTAATCTATTTCTAAAACAAAAATGATATTGTTTTAGTTTTTTTTTTTGTGATACTTTATTAAAACAACCTAATACTAAATATTTTGTGCTTAATTTATTATAAGTTTAGTTAATAAATACGAATATCAATCAAATGTGTTACAACATTTTAGATAAAAAAAATAATTATTTTTAATAAATGCGAATAAATCTTAACTATTGAAAGTGAAAAAATAAATAATTAAAATTTTATATGAATATAATATGTAAATTTGTAGGTAAATAAATCCATATTATATATATATATATATATATATATATATGTGGTTTACCATCTTAGCCATGTCCATAAGGCTGGAGCCTACAAGCTCAAAGATTGTGACCATAATGCATTTAGGAGGGTTTGCTTCAGTTTGTACTGAGGGGAAGAGAAGCACCATCAATCCTCCAGGTACCATCTCCTCAGCTCTAGCTTTCAAGAATGTGTCGAAGTCGTCGGCAAACTGAGCGGCATAAACGAATTCAACTTCTTTACAATTTTCATAAAGGATCCTCCCTTTGTTCCACGCAGGTGAGCTTTTGTCTTGGACTTTTTCCGGGACCTTAGAAAGCCAAGGGATTGCATAAGACGAGTGCACGAGATGCAGGCTGGCCTTGGGGAACAAACGCTCGTAAAAGGAACCTGGCGCACCATTTGCAAAGTAATTTTTTCCAACAGGAAGTGTTCTGAAGAGAGTGTTGAAGTCGTTTGCACTGTGATCATTGAAGAAAACTTGAAATTCGATTTCCTCAGATTCATACTTAGATTTTACAGCGTCTATAATGTCTTGGACAAGAAAAAATGTATTTGGTCCAGCAGCACAACCCAAATCAGCAATCCTGAAAACATTTGGAGGTGAAAAAATATTCTTATCTATATCAAGCTTCTTTGTGATCTCCTCTTGCATTAATTTCTTGGCTATATCCAGACCCATTTTCTGCCAAATGTGTGAAACACAACAGAAATATATATAAGCATATTTTGTTCAGTTTAAGCATCTGGATGCTATCTTGAGGGTGAAAGTTCTTGCCTGGAAGCTCGAGTTGTTGACATAGCTGTATTGCCCTTCTCCACCAGTCATTGAAAACAGTTTAGAGGAAGAGATCTTCTTTGTATCTTTGATCTCCATTTCAATAAACTCGCCTTCAATCTTCAAGATGAGCAACAGATTAAAGATGACGAGAATAAGTTAGG